GTCAATCTGGACAAGTAATGTACTGAATATTAGTAATATTCGAAAAATATGTCAGTGTATGGATGATGTGCTGTTGACCTCTAATCGAACAAGAGGGTGCAAATGTCACAAAATATTTCCCAGGCTCGGAATAAACTTCCTTAGAAAGTTAGAACTCCGTCGTAGTTGTGTAGGGTATCGTATGGTCGGTCCCGTCCGACATTACTACTTTCCTTACTGGTTATAAATATTTTTCTAATGGAAACCGACATCTTTTCGTAGTTTTGCTTTGTATTGACATATTTTTTTTTTGTAATGAATATACCCCCTACACATTGTTGTCAAATATTCTCCATTCTATTTTCCTAGTATTTTTCCCCCCAGCAGCATGTGTTGCATCTTATTGGCCACGCTGCAAGAGACGCACAGAAAAACATTTTTCGACAAAAAAAAAAAAGAAAAAATAGAAAAACGTATATATATATATATATATATATATATATATATACTTATATATACACGAATTTTATTTTTGGTCAAATGATGGTCTTGGGAAACTTTTGATGGGTATTAACAAAAATGTCTCTTGTGTGCATTTACAAACAAAAGCGATTTCTATTTTGGGATAAATTATTGGCCAGACCACATTTTGGTTGTCTATGAAATTAGCATTTAAACGAACATCCAAATTTTATTAAGTAAAGAATATTATTCCAAATTCGTAAAGAATATTTTTTTCTAAATTTAAGACGAAGATTTTTAAAGGAATATTTTTCCCAGTCCTATATAAGGCGTGGATTTTTTAAAAAATATTTTTCGGAGCCATATATAAGGCGTGGATGTTTTTATTGCCCACTCCCTACAAACGGCAGCAAAAGCAACACTTGGATACCAAAGACCACCATTAAGATCTCCGTGGTACGATCAGGAGTGTCGTATTGCTAACGCAGCATATAGGGCAACCCTGTAGCAACACGTAATGTGATGGAGAAATATCGGAAGAAAAGGTGAGAGAAGAAACGTATTTTCAGAAAAAAGAAGAAGAACAAACGAAAAAGCGTAATGTTCGACCGGGCCGAACTTTGGATACCCTCCACCATGGATATACTGATATATAGGGAACATACCAAAAAGTGGTCCTTTACCGACATTTCTAAAAACGGATTATGTAATCCATAATGTAAACCATAATACAAATTTCAGAAATTTTAATGGATAATTATCTTCAGCCTTTTGGCTAATGAGGGTGTATACACTTTAACACGGGGCTAGGCCTAAATCCGGGCTATAGTTCATATATAGTACATTATCTAAGCTTACGTTCTATACTCCACAGGTGAAATGATTACAACAGAGTCTTAGAACCAAATCCAAAACGCAGAACAAATTAGATAACTATTTTAATATAAAAAAGGGGTTATATGGGGACTACGCCAAAAAGGGGGCGAATATTAATATTTTTTAGTAGGGAGATTTGTTACCATATACGACTACAAAATACCAAATTGCAGCGAATTCGGTTGAAAAACGCGCTCAAGAACCCCAAAATGCCGAAAATTGGTGGTACCCTTATATGGGGGCTATCCGAAAATATGGACCTATATTAATAATTTTTTGTCGAGAGATTTGGTACCTATTAAGAACACAAAATACTAAATTACAACCAATTCTGTGGAAAAATACGACCAAAACCCCCAAAATACTGAAAATTACGAGGTACCGTTATATGGGGGCTACCAGAAAAGTGGACCCAAACTTATAATTTTTGTGGAGACACTTAGTAGGCAATAAGAACCCAATGTACCAAATTTCAGCGAACTCGACTGAAAAACGCGCACAAAAACCCCAAAATACCGAAATTTGGCGGGTACCCTTATATGGGAGCTATGCCTAAATGAGGACCGATATATCCCATCTTCGAACTTGACCTGCCTGCAGATAAAGTACAACCCTATGCAGCACCCTATCTCAATTCCTTCAGAAGATAGCGTGATTACAACAGACGGACGGACGGACATGGCTAGATCGTCTTAAAAATTTACCCTGATCAAGAATATATATACTTTATAGGGTCGGTAATGAATATTTCAATGAGTTACAAACGGAATGACAAAATTAATATACCCTCCATACTATGGTGGAGGGTATAAAAACATGAGCGTGAGCAAATCGAGATGTACAGGAGTCAGAATGAAGTCCGAAAATTCTACCAACGAGTAAAACACCAAACCGAAGGCTTTGGTGCAGGCCCCTCCTCCTGTAGAGATGGAGAAGCAAACCTTGTGGCCGATACAGACAGCGTGTTGAGGATCTGGAAGGAGCAGTTTTAAAAAACTTCTGGTATCATAATAGTGGTATAATAGTAGCGGTGAAGAGGATACCCCAGAACCTATAATAGATGACGGTATAGAGTGTATACCACCTAGCCAATAGGGATACGTAGTCGATCGCAAAAATCTTTAAGACTTTTCGTTTTTTGCCTCTGACCAAAAAGACGATTTTTAGACTTTTCGATTTTTGCCATTGAGTAAAACGTCGACTCTTCGATCTCTCGATTTTGTCAAACCTGTTCAAAATCGATTTCCGACTTTTACCATATAAAAAATCAAAACTGACTAAAAATTTAATTTTTTGTAAGAATAATTGTCAATAGATGAAATAAAGTTCTGGAATGTGTAATTTTAGGGCAATTTCGACTTTTTGGTAATTTCGACTTTTCAATATCGACTTTGCGATTTTCTCAATGATCAAAAATCGACTTCGACTTTTAGACTTTCAATAGAAAAAGTCGATTAGTCGAAAGTCGATTTACTTATCCCTACTAGCCAAGATGAAGTCAGAATAGCAATCAATCGGCTGAAGAATAATAAAGCAGCAGTTGCCGATGGGTTACAAGCCGAACTATTCAAGACTGGTGAGCAGACGCTTATTAGTATAATTTGGCTAGAGGAATGCATGCCCAATGATTGGAACCTCAGCATCCAGTGTCCCGTCCACAAAAAAGGAGATAAGACGATATGTGCTAACTATCGCATATAAAGTGCTATCCATCACATCCCATCGCATATAAAGTGGTATCCAGTGTGATGTGCGAACGATTGAAGCCAATGGTCAATGACATTATTGGACTGTACCAATGCGGCTTCAGACCTGGCAAATCCACAGATTTTCACTCTGCGCCAAATCCTGGAAAAGACCCACGAAAAACACGTCGACACATTCCACCTATTCGTCAACTATAAAGCCGCATTCGACAGCCCTATCCATTCAGAGGTGTTTAAAGTCCTGTTACATCGACATAATAGGTCGGACATTGCGAGCGGTAACAGCCACTTTTGAACAACTTGAGAAGGAGTCTGCCAAAGTGGGTCTGGTAATAAACGACGAGAAGACCAAGCTGATGGTATCAACGGGCAAGACGTCCAGCTTCAGGTACAGCTTCGAGGTAGTTAATGATTTTATATACCTTGGTACCGTCATAAATAAAACGAATGACATCAGTTTTGAAATTCGGAGAAGACTTGTGATGGTCAACAGATGCTACTGTGGTCCAAGTAAGCAGTTTAGAAACAATTCCACCTCCCGTCAGACCAAACTCACACTTTACAAGACGCTGACACTACCCGTGTTGTTATATGGATCTGAAGCATGGGTATTCGCGCAAGCAGATGAGACAGCTCTTGGGGTGTTTGGAATAAAAATTATCCGAAAGATCTACGGGTCGATCTGCGTCGACGGCGAATATCGGCGTCGAATGAACCATGAGATTTACAATTTATTCGAGGACATCGACATAGGCATTCGTATTGAGCTGCAGCGACTACGATGGCTAGGCCATGTTGTGCAAATGAATGAGAATGTTCCAGTTCAAAAGGCATATAAAAGCGAGCCTACTGATGGTTCCCGTAGAAGGGGAAGGTCAAGAATCAAATGGAACGACCAAGAAAACAACATCTTGGAACGTGGTCTTTCAAATTGCAGGAGATGCGCACAAGATCGACTCGCTTGGAAATTTTTTTTAAGCTTGGCTTATGGAACAACCGTTCTGTAACAAGCCAGCTGAGTATGTAAGTAAACAAGGCGTGGATTTTTTAAAGAATAGGTGGATTTTTTTAAAAATAATTTTTTCAAAGGTCAATATTTTTCAAAAATTATTTTGAAAATATGTATTTACAGTTTGATCCCCTACATGCTCCAATGAATGGAGCTGGCTGGCTAGTCGTCTATCGGGTCGTATCAATGAACGAGTCGTCGTTTGTAAGTAATATTTGCGAATGTATGCATGACTGCAATTGACTGGTCTGGCCATATGGGTGTGTATGTGCGTCTGTCTGTATGTTTGTTTATATTCACTAGTCTACGATAATAATGTTCGTTGTGCATACAATTCGATTCGATTCCATTCATCGGTCGGACAGTCAGTCTCGGTTCGCATGGTTTCGGTTTTGTTCCTCCACTACAACTACTACTTCCATGAGAACGACTGTGTGTGTGTGTTTGCGTCTGTGTGAATTGAATTCGTGGGGATTTTCATTTTCATCGTTTGTAGTTTGATTTTAGTTTACGTTTAGTTGTCGAAGCGTTGATTTCGTTGTGGAAAAATATTTTACTTCTGAACCGAAAGCAAAATTTTTGACGAGGAAGTGTGAATAGAATAATAGAAACGAGAAAATCTCATAAAAGAAAATTTCTCAAGAAGAAGAAAAGAAGAAAAAGGCATTAGAAAACCAAATTATTTTCGCGCAATAAAAAAGTGTAATTCGAAAAAGAAAACGATTATTTTAAATTGGCGCGCTTTAACTAAAGCCAACACCAACAGCAGCAGCTACGGGCAATAAAATAAAAAATAAAAACGAAAACCCTAATTGAAATTGGAATTGAAAAAGTGCATAAATAAAGTAGTAATAACTGAAAGTGTTGTGCAAGCAATAAAAATTTTAAATAATTTACAAAAAATAATAAAAGTGAAATAGTTTTCAATTTTTAGAGGAAAACTAAAAAAGAAATAAAAATAAATTAAGATGTCATCATCTCATGGATATATCATTGCCCTGCTTTTGGCTATTATGGTGTGCCTTACCACAGGTTTGTTAGATTCCATGTTTTTTCTAAATATCCTATAATGGAGCTTTGTCCTGGTTTATGTGATTGCCACAATCACCACACACTTGCAGTGTAATTACAACAGGTGTTGATGGGTTTTCCCGTTTTTTCCGTTCTTTATGAAATGCTTGAAATGTAAATTTTTCTTCTGAATGAGATTTTTAATTAAAAATGCTATTATATTGAGTGATTGAAATTGTGAAATTGAACAGATTATGAAGTGCATGATGGGAATTATAAATTATTATATAAAATAACCAGTGAGCGGAGCAGTATAGTCGGACGGGGCCGACCATACGATACCCTACACAACTACCACGGAACTCAAATTTTCTGCGGATATTTATACCGAGTCTGGGCAATATTTCGTGATATTTGCATCCTCTTGCCCGATTAGAGGTAAACAGCACCTCTTCCTCACACTGACATATTTTCCGAATATTACGAGTATTCAGTACAGCTATTGTACAGATTCCTTTCGCCGTGGGTTGTGTTATAATGTTCGGCTTTCATTTGTGGTCTATAGATGGACTCGAAAATAATACAAAAAATTAAATTTTCGGTCCAATTCATCCCAAAATTATTATCTGATCATCACCGAAAATTATAGGCGTTGTCCTTGACAATAACTGGAACCTCATGGAACATTTCAAATCGATCAGCGCTATTGTTCCGCTCTCTAACGTGATAATGGGTTACTAAATAATATACGAATACCGAGATAACTGTAAATATCTAGGTGTAACTCCAACTCCCGAGCACATACAACAATATAATTGGAATTAATTTAAAGATCAACCACTCCTCTTGCATATAATATCAACTTCTCGGGTCTATGTCCTTCAGGGGTAAATATATACGCTATAGAATACAAATTTTGTCATTTTTCACACAAAAGTCAGGGTCCATTTGACCCGCTAAATATTGACCGATCTTTATGAAAACAGGCATGCTTATTCTTTGGCCCGATCCCCTTCTCCATGCAAAATTTCACGATGTTCGGAGCATAACTGCGGCCTCTGGAGCGACCAGAAAAACCTATAAAAATTTAGTATTTGGTCCATTTCATCCCCTAAATATTAACCGATCTTTCCGATAAACAATAGGGGTCTTCATTGGCTACAACCCATCCTACATGCAAAATTTCGTGAAGATTGGTCCATAACTGTGGCCTGTATCGTGTTTACAAATTATAATGGACAGACGGACGGACGGACACACTTGTCTAGATCGACTCAGCTAGTCGAGATATGGCGATCGGTATACTTAAAGGTGGGTCTAGGACCAATATTTCGCGGCGTTACAAACTCTTGGGGCTGCACAAAGCTATAATACCCTGACAACATAGTTGTGTAGGGTATAATTATAAATACAAATCTGAACAAAAATTATTATTTATTACAATAAAAATTTTGTAAAAAAAATTAAAAAATACAATTAAAAACTGTAAAATTGTAAATTAAAAAAAATACAGAAAAGTACAAAACAGTACAAAATATGAAAATAATAAGTTTTCAAAATTATAAATTAAATAAAACACAAACTTTTATACTTGAAAAGAAGAATAGATTTTACAAATTATAAAAGTTTAAATTTAAATAAATTTTCCAAAAAGGCTTGGCTTTTGATTTGGATATTGAAGCCGCGGGTTTTAAAATTTCAAATTTTTCTTTTTTTCTATTCAAAGAGTAATTATATTAAGAAAAAAATCAAGAAAAAAAAACAAATCTATAAATGGTTTGCATTTAAAACATCCCTGTGAGTTTTTGAGAGCATGAGTATTTCAAATAAGGTGTTTCCAACTATTATTTTTGAATTATTTTTTTCGGGCATTATTAAAGGCGTAAGTTTGAAAAAATATGTTTTCTATTTTAGGCCTGGATTTTTTAAAGAATACTTCTTCCAAAGGCTTTTTAGACGTAGATTTTTAAAAATATATTTTTTAAATAACTATTTTAGGCCTTGAATTTATTATCCAGAATAATAAGAATATTTCTATAGAGCTTATTAAAGGCGTTGATTTTTTTCAGAATATTTTTACAGTGTCTATTAAAGACGTAATTTTTTTTAGGTTTTTTTTTTTCAATTGACTATAATTAATGTATTTTTTTAAGAATTTTTTTTTTCATAGGCTATTAATGTCGGTAATTTTAAAAAATTGTTTTTTTAAGGACTAATTAAGACGTAAAAAGACATGAACTTTTTAAGGGTTATTAGTTTTTGAGTTATCGTGACCGCCATTCGCAAAACCAATGTTTGGAGAAAACCGCGTTTAAAGTCTGAAAAACCCTTCAGCCGTCACTTGATGCTGACACAATAGATCGGCTATATCTTTTTTTCACTTGGAATTTTGTAGAGACATTCTTGAATTATTGTATTTTCGAACTGAATCAAAAATAATTTTGACACCAAGGGGACCCCCCTTAAATAATATTTTAAACGAATATTTGCTCAAGAACTATTTAAAGCGTGGATTACTTCATGAATTTTTTTCAATGACTATTCAAGGGTGAATTATTTTCAATTGACTTTTTGGGGGTGAATTATTAAAGGCGTTAATAGTTTAAAATATTTTTTATTGATTTTTTAAAGAATATTTTTTTAAAGGCCAATCGAGACGTGGGTTTCACAAACGAAACTTTTTATTATTATAGCTTTGTGCAGCCCCAAAAGTTTGTAACGCCCGAAATATTGATCCACCTTTAAGTATACCGATCGTCATCTCTCGACTAGCTGAGGCGATCTAGACATGTGTGTCCGTCCGTCCGTCTGTCCATTATAATTTGTAAACACGATCGTCATCTCTCGACTAGCTGAGTCGATCTAGACATGTGTGTCCGTCTGTCCATTATAATTTGTAAACACGATACAGGCCACAGTTGTGGACTAATCTTTACGAAATTTTGCATGTAGAATGGGTTCTGGCCAATGAAGACCCCTATTGTTTTTGGAAAAGATCGGTTAATATTTAGGGGATGAAATGGACCAAAAACTTTATTTTTGTCGATTTTTCTGGTCGCTCCAGAGGGCGCAATTATAGCCCAAATACCGCGAATTTTTGTATGGAGAAGGGGATCGGGCCAAAGAATAAGCATGCCTTTTTTAATAAAGATCGGTCACTATTTAGCGGGTCAAATGGACCCTGACTTTTGTGTGACAAATGGCAAAATTTGTATTCTATTGCGTATATATTTGCCCCTGAAGGACCTAGACTCGAGAAGTTGATAGTATGTTCAAGAGGAGTGGTTGACCTTTAAATTGATACCAATTATATGGTCGTATGTCCTCAGATGTGGGAGTTACACTTGAATATTTGCAGGTGCTTACGTATTCAGACATTATTTAGTAACACATTACCACACTAGACGGCGGAAATATAGCGCTGATCGCTTTGAAATTTCCCATGAGATTCCAATTATGGTCAAGGACAACGCCAATAATTTTCGGTGATGATCAGATAATAATTTTGGGATGAAGTGGACCGAAAACTTATTTTTTGTGTTTTTTCGAGTCGATTTATAGCCAAATTGAAAGCCGAACATCACAACACAACCCACGCTGAAAGGAATCTGGACAAGTAATTAGAAGTGCTATACTGAATATTACTAATATTTGTTGACCTCTAGTCGGTCAAGAGGGTAAAAATATCGCGAAATATTGCCTAAGCACAGAATATAGAACCACACAAAGTTAGATTTTCGTGGAAGTTGTGAAGGGTATTATATGGTCGGCCCCGTCCGACTATACTGCTCCGCTCACTGGTTTTAAGGACAATTGGAGGTATGACTATATTATATCCTTCACCACTTTGGGTATATTCTACATATGTATCCTATCAATTTTATGTCAATGTTCTATCGAGGAAAATTGAATGAATTTAAATATGTTACATTTATCTATAAGTGGACCGACCAACGCCAATACATACTCATGTCTTTCTGCAACCTTTGCTAATTTCACTTCATTCGGACAGATTTGCGTACAATGGGACAAATTGTAGCGAAAGATAAATACGGGTCATTCACATTAAATCAGGCGAGTATATATATTGGATTTTGACGAAACTTAACGTACATCATTCTTGACTTAATTCTGTACGCTATGCAAAATTTCGTGCAAATCGAAAGATATATAGGGTCTTTGGTACACTACTTCCATTAAATCAGGTGAAATATATATGGTAGCTATATATAAATATAAACCGATTTGCACGAAATTTAGCACACATCATTCTACACTTAATTCAATACGTTATGCCAAATTTTGTGCAAATTTAAAGATTTATAGGAACTTTGGTGCAGCATTTACATCAAATCGGGCGAAAATATATATAGGAGTTATATCTAAATCTGAACCGATTTTCCCCAATTTCAATAGGGTTCGTCCTTGGGCCAAATGGATGAGCTGTGCCAAATTTCATCTAATTCGGATTATAAATGCTATCTGTACATTGTTTATATTTTAACATGGACAGACAGATGGACGGACATGCATAACTCGACTTAGAAAGTGATTCTATGCATATTCTCAAAAGAAATCATGTACCTATCTCGTTTCCTTTGGATATTCATCAATTAAAGTAGCGTATTTGTGTAAAAAATTTTTACAAAGTCTATTAAAAGTGTGGGTTTCTAAAGATTATATCTACAGAGTCTATTGAATAGGTGGTTTTTTGTTTAAAGGCTTTTCCAGGGTCTATTAGAGTCCTATATTTTTTAGAAATATTTTTCCATGGACCCTATGTAAATTGTCTACAAAGAGTTTTATATCATCTGAGAAATTGAAATACCAATTCCCAACCAGTCAGCACATCGATAATAGAGAGGAGAATATATTCAGAGTTTTATGTCGTCTGAGAAATTGAAATACCAATTTCCAACCAGTCAGCACATCGAAAATAGAGAGGGCATATTCAGATAACTATGTGAAAACATGAATCTATATCGAATATTTTCAGGAAAGAAAGAAATATTGTTCCCTCC